GTTTGTACAAGCTCTCTATTTCCTGACCAGCAACCTCAAGTTGAGACTGGTTTGTACAAGCTCTCTATTTCCTGACCAGCAACCTCAAGTTGAGACTGGTTTTGTTCAGCGCATATCTCGTGAAATCTAATTTTTTGTCCTATGTCCGGTTTTTTAAATATAAAAAAAACAACAACCCAAAAATACAGTTTCATCGAATGAAGCTCATCATTCTTTATAATATTTTGATTTATTTAAATCTAGATAGGGCTGTCTCTCTCTCTCCCACCCCCCCCAACTCTTTTTTTTTGGTTCCCCTTTACACATTACAGTGCGCCATTTGTTAACAATCAATTTTTGTAAATTATTTTTTTTTTTTAAATGGAGCTAGTAATTAAAGTTTATAACTTTTTCATTAAAAACTTTATTTTTTATTTTTTGGAGAAAAAAGACCCCGATAATCACAAGTAATAACGCTCTAGGCTCTAGGCATGATAATTCTCTAGGTATGTATGTCTTTTTTGCTTTAACGATGTGTTCAATAGGCGCGCGAAATAAAATTTTCAGAATTTAGCTCTGATTGGGAACCTCATAAAGTGCGCTACGTGAATGCATGTTTCGCCAAGTAACTTTAGGAGATAGGGAGTTCACGCGTTGCCACAGCCATTGTTTGGAAGGTTATTTCGTCTATTTCTCTAGGTATCTGAGTATGTATGGAGGATCTTTTTGTAGCGGTGTTCAGTAGCGCAAAAAATACAATTGTCAAGTAACTTTAGCAGGTGGGAATTTCACGCACTGCAGCTATGATTTTAAGGTGGGTTATTTCTAGTACACCAATTATTATTATTATTATTATTATTATTATTATTATTATTATTATTGTTTGCCTCACATTTTTCTTTACGTCCGTGGTGTGAAGCTATCTAAAAGTTTCGTCACAGATGAGTAAAACCGTTACATTTACATTTTCGTCATGCATGCATTCCTTTTGCGCCTCCTGCTCCTACGAGCATCGATGAAGATGGATTCCCAGGAAATGTACTAAGTAACTAATCAAGGATGCAGGACGGTTGGCATCGATCTATTGACGATTGAATTTTTTTTAAAAAAAGAAAGGCAAGTTCAAGCGGAGATAACCGAAATCGGGAAGATTTTATCATTATTCTCGGTGACCTCCCTTTGACTTGATTGGCACGGTAAAAGACAACTTACAGCCGTGTGACTCGCTACACCTTGTAAAAGTGAGGGACATTTTCTATTTAAAATAGCAAACGCGTGTTTAAAAAAAAAAACACGAAAAAAAAAAACCTAATAAAATCAAAATCATTTCGTCTTCCGAAAAAGGGGCGCCCTCAGCCGAAAAAATGGGGGGGGGGGGGGGGAA